CATTATGAAGTCTTGTAGTTTCTAAGCACCAGGGGGCAGTATAAACTGCCCGGTGAGACAATGAAGTCAGCTGTTATTCCAGAGAGCTTTACACACAGCTTTCTTCATTTCTTTTCAAATCGTATGCACGGTATCATTTTAAGCAGGTGATCCAGGCAGGCTTAAGAAGCCAAAGTTGCATGTGCTAAATCTGTGGGTTTCCTTGAATTGCTGCTTCTTCAAAAGCATGTGGAAGCTGGAAGATATGCTAAATCTAATCTGAAGGAGACTTGAACATTTTTTGGTAGTGAGTTATTACTTGGGTTCCAATTAAAACAGGTTGTGGAATGCAAGGCAAACTTCAGTTCTGGCCCTGCCTGCCTTCTGCAAAAAGCCTTTCCTGGTCCTCAACCTTCCCTCTGAGATTACCTCCTAAATTTATCCTTTATGTAACTTGTTAGTATATAGAGATAAATAGACATGAAAGTGCTAATAAGAATATAAGTCACTCATTCCTACATCTGAGCAGGACCAGCTCTACTGGGTGGTCTATTCCTAGTTTTCCTGTAGTCCCTGGAAATTTTTCTGTGGGTCACAAATAGTTACAGTGATCATAAGACTGGCAAAAATGTCTTGGGAAACAGAGATACAGAGCTGAAATGAGAAGTGACTTTACTGAGGGGTATTTCTAGCATACAGTACTGTCACTGTCTCTTAAATAGTCAATTTAATTCACACACCTGGGTGAGTTTCTCAAAATGAAAGCCATGAAATTGGATGTATACACAGTATAGATATTTAAATAATTAACATTCCATACCCACCTTAATGCAGAAAAAAGCTGAGGATAAGATTTTTAAAACATTTATTTTACACAAATGAACTAGGGGCCCAAGTCAAAGGATGGAAATATTAGTGATTCTGGAGCAAGGCTAAATGAGTAGGGGATTAAGTTCAGACATGAAGAGAGTGAAGCTAGCACTGTGCTCCTTCAGACTTTTTATGTAGTCTGAGGAAACTGACTCTCATAATTTTTTTTTCCCCTCTGGGGAAAATCAACATTATCCCTCTGCTAAAAGGTTCAAGGGATGTGTGTGGGAAAGAAGGGCCTTAGAGACTTTCCGGTTGTTGGTATTTCCAGAAAGCCATCTCACCATCATCACTGCAAGAGGCCAGTAGTCCTGGCTCCTTGGGGTTCCAAGCTACGCAGTTCACATCCTGGGAGTGGGCTTGGGGTAGGTGAGCTGTTAGGGAAAAAGATGGCTGCTGAGGGTCAGAGCTGGGGTCTTCTTCAAATACCCGGATGGCATCATCACCACAAGCTGTGGCCAGGGCCCCTGTCAGGTGGCACCTAGAAAGAAAGGGGTTGCTTTTCAATGCACAGATAATTTTTTTTTTTTTGGCAAGGCAGTTGGGGTTAAGTGACTTGCCCAAGGTCATACAGCTAGTAAATGTCAAGTGTCTGGTCTGAGACTGAACTTGAACTCAGGTCCTTGTCACTCCAAGACTGGTGATCTACCAGCAGCGCTACCTAGCTGCCCTGAATAGGTCAATTCTAAGCAGAACTGGAATCATGATGTTGGGAGAGACACTAGTTTTCCCAACTTGGACTCAAAAGTCCAGTCTCCCTTTAGGATTAAGGTCTTGTCTTCCTTGAGCAGACCTAGAGACCAACCCATCTAATCCTAACATTTCTAAACCTCTATGAACATGCTTACATGCAATTTTAGAGGTAGCTTTAGCTTGGTAGAGATTGAAAGAAAAGTCTCCTAAGCTATATTCAATACAGAGACTGATTACTGAGCCAGAATTCATGCTGAAACTACTTTCCAGTCTTCCTTAACACATACTTCATAAGGGGAAACTAACTCCATATACTCCAGACACAGAGGCACTCAAATATTTCTTGATAGTAAGATACTAAATAATGACTAAGAAATAGTGTTCATATCATCACAGCCCAACTTAGGCTGATCTCCAGGCCTACCCATCTTCTCTCTAAATATTCCCAGATCATCGGTTAGTGCGCACTTGTTACATCAGGAGGTACTGGCCAGATCTGGCAAAATCAAAAATCCAGCTCGATCCCAATGAGTCAGTGCAGGCTACGTGTATACGCGCTTCATGAATGAACGTGACTTACCAAGAAACGTCATAGACAGTTCTAGAATGGAAGCCAGATAAGGTGCAGATACACTTCCACGTAGGGTCAGAGCCATTGCAGGCCACTCCTGTTACAGAAAGTCTCCAGTTAGCTGGAAAAACATCCAAGTTGCTTCTTGTAGCAGAATGTTTTCCAGAGGACTCTGATAGAGAAGCCATTCTCTGCCTTGGCAACTCACCTTGCTCGTTGCCTGGTAGGTACTGGCGCCAAATGCGCACAGTTCGGTCATCACTGCAGGATGCCAGGCGCTGGCCACTGGGGTCAAAGGACAAGCTCCACACTGTGGACTCGTGGCCCTCCAGGGTAGCATAGCATACCCAGTCATCCTCCTCCTCCCGGTATAGCTTTACTGTGTCATCATAGCTGGCTGATGCCAACAGCTAGAAGAATACACAGGATATATCAATACTGCTAAGCCAGTTAATGATAGCGAGCATTTGTATAGTGCTTTCAGATTTGCAAATATCACCAGTGTCACATTTACACACATTTCTTTTGATCCTGACAGGCAGCATCACTCCTATTTTACAGATGATGAAACTAAGGCACATCACATAGCTTGTAGAGGTCTGAGACAGCTCTGAACTCAAGTTTTCTGACTCCAAGTCTATCCACTGTACCACTTAGTGTTAAGGAGTTATGGAATAACCACACTGTCTCTTCCCACTAGCCCCACACGCTCTTACAGCCTAGAGGGGTTTTATTATGTGTTTCTAAGAGTAGTTTCAAGGTTTCCATTTACAGCATACAACAGTTTAGAGTCCAAGCTCAAGAGAGACAGAATTAAGACTGTTTAACATCAGAAATTCTCAAAGTCTCATATCTGGGCACTTTCTGTCCCAAGAGTTGCCCCTACCCCAGACTCTTACCTCTTGGTTAGGGTGCCATATCACATGTTTAACATCCTGTGTATGTGAATTCAAAACACTGACACACTCATATTCATCCTCTTCATCAACTGTAGGAGGTAAGGACACTATGAGCCCAACATCCAAACCCATAAAGGCTACATTAACAAGGATACAACTGACTACCTTTCTTAACTATCTCCACACAAGCCATGCTACTCACCTTCCCAAACCCAGACACTCTTGTCCCGGCTGCAGGTAGCCAAAAGGCTACCAGATGGGGCCCAAGCTACTGACTTGACTTCATTTTCATGTCCTTCAAGGGTGGTTACACACTGTGGAAAGTATAGTGGGTGAAAGTCAATAGAAGGAGAAGGTCCAGGGAGGCCTTTCTTGATTCCCTCAATCACTATTGTTTCCCTCCCCACCCCCATCCTAGATAATTATTTGTATATGTTCTGCATTTATCTGTATTTACATTCCAAACTCATGGAGCGCCCCATTTTTGTCTTATTGCCCCAACATGCAGCAAAATGCCCAGCACCCATATAATAAATAATAGCAATAATAATAATTACTTGTTCAATGATAATAATAAATGCTTAATGGAAATGAACTAAAGCCAAGCACAGGTGGACTCAGGATTTAATCATCCTCAGTCAGAAAGCTAGAAGAAATCCTACACACCTACTCTCCAGCCTAGTTACCTCGAAGTCATCCTGGTTCTTCTTCCAAATACAGGTGGTAGCATCAAAACTTGCAGATGCCAGGTAGTTCCCACAAGGGGACCAGGCCACCTTCCTCACAGTGCGCTGATGACCCTCGGCCAGAACAGATTTACACACCCAGCCATCACCTAGAGAGAAAGATAATGCAGGTCACAGCACCAGCCGAGGAGCTTGATGTGGGGAGGAAGGTGGCAGAAGGAAGACACAACAGATTGCTTATCTTAGAGAAAACAACTGATGCATTAGCACCAGGGATACCTCCCTTACTTTTTTGGGGGTAGGGGGAGATTAAACTTGTCTCCAGTGACATGGCTGGTGGGATGGGGTAGGGGAGGGGAAGAATCTGGGAACAATTCCAGGACGGTGGATGGAGGAGGGTAGCATGACACGCAAAAACTTGGAGCCAGGAAGACCTGGATTCGAATTCTGCTGATACTAGGCATCAAGAGCAAGTCACCATAACCTCTCAGCCGAATTTCTAGCCTTTAAAAGACGAGGATCACACCTGTAATTTTCCCTCATTCAACTAGATAAGGAATGCACTGCGTTTCGCAAACTTTGAAATGCTGTTGGTTACTATAATTATGCAAGGCCCCCGATTGGGGGGCTTCCTCTTGGGGTGACACCTAAAGAGGGGCGGGGGAAAGGGGAGGACGGGGACAGCGTCCAGGACCAAGGGCGTGCGGGGCCCTTACCCTCCTTGCCCCAGATGCGAATGCTGCGGTCGCCGCCGCACGAGGCCAGCAGGGTGCCGGCAGGGTTCCAGGCCAGGAACCAACAGCGGGAGTCTGGGTGGGCCGGCACGCGGGCCAGGAGCACCAAAGAGTCCTTCATGGCGGGCGCTCAAGCTCGGCCGGACCCGGGGCCCCCCGCCCCCTTGGAGGCCGAGTCAAGGTCCGGTTGGAACTCCAGCAGTAACTCAGCTCCAGAGTCCCGCGGCGACCCCCAGGTCCCGTCCACTTCCGCTTTCGGGCCCCGAAATCTCCTGGGAACTGTAGTGCCCGCTGGGTCCGGCTGCCGCACTACCTTCTGGGTGTTGTAGTTGTCTCCTGGGGCCTCGGAAGCACGGTCGGGTCTTCTACAGCCTCGAGCCGCAGCGGGCTCGCATCCCGTTCGCGGGTAAGCAAACAACGGGATCTGCCCGACCCCAAATGGTCCCTGGAAGCAATACAGGAGCAGCAGAGGCGGGGCGGGGGGAGGGGAGAAGAGGGGAGGATGCTTACGAAACACGTACGCGGCGTCATGACGAGTGGGCCAGGGAAAGGAGGGGTGGGGGCGGGAGGGGGGAGCGGAGGGAGGAAGCCGGAAGTGGACCGGGCTCTGGCCGAGTCCGAGCGTTGTGGGTTCGGGCTCCGGGATCGCTCGGCCGGGGAACCTGGCGAGCGGACCCGGGGCGAGGAGCGGAGGGGACGGGCCCGGAGCTGCTTGGCGCCACCCCCAAGCGGAGGTGAGCGGAGGGTTGAGGAATGGATGGATGGTCTAGGGGGTGAGGGCTGCCCTGGGATTGCCGGTTGTACCCCCCCCCAGCTGGAGTGACGGTCTCCTGCCCCCTCCCCGCCTAGCGCCGGGTCTCCGGCCCCCCCCCCCGCTGTGCCGGGGCTTGAGCCGGGCCGCCCCGCACAGCGTCCTCCTTCTCTCTTCTCACCCAGGCTTTCGGTCACCCGAAGGTGGGCAGCGGGCGAGCAGCGAGCAAGCAGTCCCAGAGGATCGGGCCCAGCCCGGCGGGCTCCCCGGCATGTACGCCCCGGGAGGCGCAGGGCTGCCTGGTGGGCGCCGGCGGAGAGGCCCAGGGGGCAGCGCCCTGCCCAAGCAGCCGGAGCGTAGCCTGGCCTCGGCGCTGCCGGGGGCCCTCTCCATCACTGCCCTGTGCACCGCGCTGGCCGAGCCGGCCTGGCTGCACATCCATGGGGGCACCTGCTCTCGCCAGGAGCTGGGAGTGGCCGACGTGTTGGGCTATGTGGACCCAGACCTGCTCAAAGGTAAGGATGCTCCAGGATGTCCCGGGGGCTGCATCCCTGCGCCTGGGGTTGGGGGAGGGGGCGGGGGATGGACAGAGCGGAGCATCTGGGGTCTGAGGATGGGCAGCCTATTCAGCCGTCCTTTTCCAGTGCTCATGCCCACCAGGTGGCTCTGTTTGAGACGTCTCAATTCATTAATTTTAATTTTATTTAGCTAACCTCGATGGCGTACTCCATGCTAGGTTGGGAGATGCAGATTTTGACTCCATTGAAAGAAAACCTTACAATTTCAGAATTGTCATTATAACTGTCAGAAAGTGAATTGGGCTGCTGTAGTAGGTTCCGTATTCTTGGCGGTCTCCACAAGAAGCTGAGTGACCACTTGTCCAGGCTTCTGTAGAAGGAATTCCTGTTAGACTAGGGGACCTCAGAGGATTCTTCCAGCTCCAAGATTCTGATTGATTGGGATTCTTCCTAAGGGTATTTATGGTCAACAAAGAGAGATAATTAGTAAAAAGAGAACCCGGTTAGTGGGGTTCTTTCTAAGCATAATTAGGAAATTGACAGGGTACAGGAAGGCTTCCCCATGGTAATCTGATAGTGAGGTTAAGAGTTTTAATCTTATTCATTACTTGAAAAAAATTTCAGTGTGCTTAAGGTGTCTTGTAGGTCAGTTATTTGCCTCTCTGAATGCAAGGTCTTTTTCCTCTTTTCTATATAAATTCAGTCAGACTATTGCTGCAATTGGAAATATTACATTGTGCCTAACAAGCTCAGCTGATTGATTCTTTTCACGGAACCTTTTACCTTTCTTGTGAGATAGTTAGAGGGAAAGAGAGTATTCTCCTGTCTTTGTTCTTAGAAGAAAACCAAGGCCCACAAGAGGATGTTTGTGTCTGTGGTACATATGCCTGTGATTTGTGTGCTCCTGTGGCGGAGTCTTGAATGGAGTTTGGGCATTCTGCTTTTCACTCAAATGCTGGAAGCCAGATCTGTAAAAAATGATTCATTGACAGTAACAGTCTACAATTTTCAGGACAGCCAGTTGTCCTCCTAACCTTTACAAAGTGTCCACACACACTGTCAGACTATAACAAATGGTATATTGGATTTTGCTAGTAGTCTGTTTTGACCATCATTGTCTCTGATGGTGGCATTAAGGACTGTTTGGTTTGGAAGCACGGACATCTTCCCTTTGACTTTAATCTTAAAAAGCTATTAATGATCCCCAGTGTCCCCAGCTTTTAACACATTGTGGACATAAAGTCCATGAATTTTTAAACCTGTCTTAAACTTTGTTTTATTTATATTTATCCCATAACACTTTAGCAATCTGGCTCTTTCAAACTCAAGGGGTTGTTTCCTCTATTTTGAAAAATATATAAATGAGTTTCTCCACTAGTCTTTGCATATCTTTGTATGTTGCCCTGCCCTTTGCCCCTTTTTTTCTTATCAAGCTGAAGAATCTTCCCTTTTTTCACCGCCTTTCAGTTCTCTTGATTGTTTTAGTTGTCTTTGGATCTTTCCCCAGCTTGATTATATCTTTATTTAGGAAGCCCAGGCTTCACACAGTTGTCCAGGTATAGCCATGCTATGATTTTCTACATATGCTGCATAACAGATTCAGTTTTCTTCCTGGTGCTACACAGCACTGCATTGGCCCATTGGATCGATCAGTTCAGGGAACAGTTGTATGACAGCATCTAGATCTCTTTCCTGGTACACATCTGACAGCTCAGATCAGAAACTAAGTATGTAATGTGAGTATGTTTGTATAATTAGTCCACATGAAAAATCATCTGCCATTTTTCCAGCTTTGTGATCTTTTCCTCTAGTTTATTGTTTTGTATTTCATTAATTGGGAGAGCTTAGCATCTGGTTGTCAATTAGGAAATTTCATTTTCTGTGCCCTGTATACTATCATTTGTAGAAGAATTATGGAATAAAATTTTAGAACTGGAAGTGATATTGGGTAAAAGTGATGTGAATGCTTTAATCCTGACTTCTCATTTTACAAATGAGGAAACTTAGACCAAGAGAAATTGTAACCTGCCTAAGGTCACACTCCTAATTAGGACAAGAATAGAGCTCCTAAGTGTTTTGACTCCAGTATTTATTCTAGTATGGTACCCTATGCCCTTTTTTTTTTTTACATTTCATAATCCATTTCTCATTACCCTTTAAGACCCTGCCAAAAACAAAGCTTTCCCATTGCCATCAATTCCATGTTAATTCAGTTTGGTTGTGGATCCTTGTCACAGGCCTTTTGAAGGTCTACTACATTTAGGTACACAGGTTTTCCCTTGTTTACATGTTTATTTGTCTCCTCAAAAAAGAAATATATAATGCAGTATGATTTCATAAAAAGAAGGTGGTCCACTTATGTCCTGATAATGAGAAATCATAAACAGAGAGCCCCAAGGCTTCACTGATCCCTAAAGAGTATTAAGAGAAAGGCCTGTGGTACATTGGGTAGATCTTCTATGGAAGATGTGTGTGAGGTCATAGGTGCCACTCACACAGGATAAAAGGTATGAATGCATTGCTTCCTGCAGTATTAAAATTACAAATCTGTTGAAATATTGAAGACAGATTCAGTATTGAATATCAGTTTAAAATTGGTTCAGATTGAATAGCAATATTAAAGACTATTGCAGTGAACTTTTCCTTTATTATAGTTTCTCTATATAATAACTTGGTAAATATTTAAAATATCTTTTTATCTTGTTCGCTAGAATCATGCAAGGCTTATGTTGGTGAATAAATTTGACCTTGGGGACAATATCCCGCTATCCACTCATAGACATGAGGGGAAAAAAAAAGCATAGAAGAGATCAAGAAAGGACAAAAATATGTAGCCTAGTCTTGGTTCTGGCTCTTTTGTGGACCCTGAAAGATTGTCCTAGTATGTCATAGAGAGCCAGGAATTCTCTTATCCCTGAACATACCAACAAAAGGCAAGGTTATTAAAGCCTCTGGTTGGAAATCTATTTTCATTTAATTGATTCCTGAAGGAGGAAGAAACCTTGGGAAATCTTTGTAGATGGTTGGGGAAAGATGGACAGTTAGCCCTGGCATTGAGTCAGAAGGGGATTCTTCTTCATTAAATTAGAGCTGTCCAGGGTTTTTCTTTTTCAAGTTTAGTATCTTCCAAAGCCAGCCAAGGGTGTATTCCTTATCTTCTTGAATACTTTGATGTTGAGGCTTAGTGTTTTAGAGGGAGAAATATTCCACTTTAAGCAGTGGTTCAGGCAGCTTTGGAGATTTTAGCAAATACAGGCTAGCTTGATCTCATTCAGGTCATCCTAAATTGCTTCAAATCCCCTAATCTAAGGCCTGCCTTGTATAGAGAGATCAGCTCAAAGAATATTTTCAGCTTTCCTGTGCTTCAAAAGGGTTAGGGTTTCCTTCAAAGAAAGACTAAAGTGATGATAACTCTCAAATGTAAACAGCTTTTTAAAATTTCCAGGTCTGTATGCTGGGTGGCGTATAGGATGGCAGCTTCAGGAATAGCATCTTTTAGGAATGCGGGAGGTTGAGATTTGGTGCTTGATGAATCATTGTTGATCATCCTTTGGAATTTCAAGTATCTTCCAGGGATTTGACAGTGCATCTGAGGTTGGCGTGTGTGCAGCTAAATCCTTCCAGGTGCCCTCAGTTCATTCAGGACCCAGTTTATACATTTCCCTTTGACTTTTTGGTTACTATGGTGACAGACTCCCCCAGAGAGCTATTAGGATCAAGCGTCAGCTGCCTGTCATGGATTCAGTCAAATCAAGGTGGAGGAAAAAAAGACTAAGCAGGTGGGTCTTCCTAGTGCTAAGAGGGATTGAGTCTGTCAGAGGTTTTTCCCATCTGTCAGGGAGTAACCTGGAGTGGACAGGGGCACCAGTAAGACAGAGGGAAGAAGAAAAGGGAGCTACTCTGAAGCAAAGTTAGGCATTTAGCCTGCAGCCTGTCTGAGGAAGGCAGTGGCTGGAGTGATGAGCAGGCAGACAGGAAGAGCCAGAGCTTTCAAAACAAGGCCACATTGGTGACTCACCAGTGACCTTGGGCAAAGTCAGTTCCCCAGGATCCTGTTACAGATGACAACAGACCTTTTTGTGTGGCCAGAGGTGGCAGTCTAGTTATACCCACCAACTTAAAGAACTCAAGAACAAAATCTGATGACACCCACTAGGGACTTCTCTATGTCAGAGTAGAATGGAATAGAACAATTGGTTTAAATTAAAATAAAGAAGCCTCCTTCAAGCCCCACTTCTCTCCTTTTACTTTTTAAAAATTAAATTTTTGTCTCTCCTCTTCTTCACCCTGCTCCAAAGTAATCATTTGTTCTAATTTTTTCCTTTCCTGAGAGGACTAGATTTTATAATAATATACCATCTTATACTTCTATAGTCATTTCAAGTTTTCATAACTTTTCTTATTCATGAGCTCATTTTAATTCCAAACGACAGCACTTTAATTTTTTTTATTCTGAATTTAACAAATGCCAAAAAAGAATATTTCCATATACAAAATAGAAAAAGAGAGTTATGTGTAAAAATGCAAATATATTATGTACAACTTGTTCTTTAAAAGTATGTAGTAAAATGGTCAAAGGATATGAATAGGCAGTTTTCAGAGGAAGAAATAAAGCAATCAGTAGCCATGTGAAAAAATGCTCTAAATCACTTAATAATTAGAGAAATGAAAACTAAAATAACCTGAGGTACCACCTTATACCTATCGGGTTGTCTATTTGTTGTTGTTGTTGAGTCCTGTCTGGCTATTTATGACCCCATTTGGGATTTTTGGGGGGCAAAGATAGGAGTGGTTTGCCATTTCCTTCTTGAGCTCATTTTACAGATGAGGAAACTTGAGGCAAAGATGGTTAAATGACTTGCCCAACTTCACACAGCTAGTAAGTGTCTGAGGCTGGATTTGAACTTGGGTCTTCCTGACTCCAGGCTGGGTACTCTATCCACTTCACCACCTTTCTGCAGATTGGCTAAGATGACAAAAAAAAAAAAAGACAAATG